ATCGGCCAAGTGTTCCCCAGCGACAGGCAAAAACGATGGAGTAATTTTGTTTCTTCGGAACAAGGAGCAACGCCTTGTTTCCCTTCTCTGACGTGGATTCGTGGTAACATTGTAGTCCATTCCCCGTTTTGATCTTCCACCAAACCAGTTCAAGCCAGAGCTGGCTTCATTTGAGCGTTCTTCTTCAGGGTCTGCGATTGGGTCGAGTCTGACACCACCTTCTAAGTCTTGCTCATTTTCTGTCCTCGTTCGAGTTCGGTTCGTAGTGCTGCACGATTGAAGACCACAGCATGTGATAAAGTACAAGAAAACATGCAGTATTTTTGAAAGCATCTTACCAACAAATCTTGCCGGAAAATTGTAAGAGCATATTTCTGTTCGAAATAAACCTTGTCTCAATTATACAGCTTCTTATTCCACGTCATAATTGACAGTGTACGTAATCATTTTCCCGCGCGCATCGAAAATATTTTGTGTGCTGTACGTGCACCAAGGAATTTTCCACACATTCTTTAAGTGTATACCATGGCTGAGTTTGGAAACTTGATGTATGTATGCAAACCTGGATGATAAAAAGGACGCAGAATAAAAATTGATTGGACTCCTTTAATTTTTTCTCAAGTTAACTTATCTGCTAATTTAGATAAAGCGAAATCACGTTCCAAGCCAGATCGTTCCATTTTTTAGTAAGATCGGTCCACAGTTTCAGGGTTAAACTGGATGTAAATAGACCTTGTCACGGTTTTCGACGCCATCTTGACGAGTAGGCAAACGCGTGAGAAATTACAGTCTTTGTATGGGAATCTAATGTCGAATAATTTCCGTACAATGGCGGTCCTGAAAAAAATATGAATTGTAAACTAAAGCTTCACTCCTAAGGAATCTACTGAAAAAAATTGAGGGCGTTACATGCGCTAGAAGACCTAGAACTAGTGTTTTAAATTTTCTATACATTTGTCTGTAAGAAAGTCCCGGGAAAAATTAGAGACAAATATATGGAAAATCTAAAGCAAGCCTCTGGAGAAATTTAAGCACAGGTACGCCCCAAAAATGTTTTAGTACAATCCTTTGTTTTGTAGCTTTAGTTTACAATTTATATTTTTTTCAGAACACCCGTTTTACGAAAATTATTCGACTTTATATAGATTCTCACACAAACACTGTAATTTCCCACACGTTTGCCCAGACTCGTACCACAAAAAACTCTTAAATAGCGACTAAGTGCGAGACTGACGTTTGCCTACTCGTCAAGATGGCGTCGAAAACCGTGACGAGGTCTATTGAAGTGCGCTTTTTTGCTTCTTGGCTTAAAGAACGAGGTTTACAAATAAGTAACTCTCTTGTTTCTGCTCGTGGCTTTAAGATTCGTGAATAGTTGAGTGACTGTACTCTGGAACACGATCTGACCATAGAGAGAAGTGACAGGGTCCCTCCTTTCTTTTTCTGCTTTTATTTTCCACAAATTGAATGAATTTTTAACCCCTCTAAACTCTCTTTCTCTCTCTCTTGTACTTTATTTACAACATCTCTTATATTTTAAGCTTACCAAATACAGCTGTACCTAATAATATCATCACGTAAAAAGAAAAAACACAGAAGTTCAAATAGTCAAAATATAAAATATATGTAGTTTATAACAATATAAAATCATCAAGCATGAATGCAAGGTTTGCCTGTCATTGCTGTTAGATCCAAGTATTCAATAATTTTTGTCTAATCTTGAATAGTTCAAAAATTGTTCTTAGTCTAAGGCGATTAATTAGCAAATTCAACTGCTCCGATCGATCCCATCTCAAAAGGCAATCTTAGACCACCAAGCAAAAACCTTACTTTACACCCAACATTATTCATTTAGTGCCTGGACGAATCATCATGTGCTCCAAAAATTCCACCGCGGTCAACCGTCTAAAACGTTTTTGTTTTCTTTTTTAATTGGCGAGATTTCATTTAGTAATAAGCCGTAAACATGGGCAAAAGATGTATAAATCAATTCGTTAACGTTGTTTCATTTTTCTTAACATTTTCATTTTTTTTCGCAGTTAAACGCTTTGTTAAATCATGCTGGAAAAAGGCGCCGACAATAACATCAGCTTCGGTATTCAAACTTATCAGAGCTTTTAAAGTAAAATTTCATAAAGTATAGTAAGCTAACAGGGCGTTAGTGACCTTAGACTTTTAACAATGAAAGTACAAACCTTAGCTTTAAATTTGCTTAGCTTTTTCAAATTTCTCTCGTTTGACTGCGGTGAACCAAATTGACCTGACCACACTGTACAATCTGAGGAGGGGGGGGGGACTCCCTTATATTTGCCTTAGAGATATGTGCTGCCCCAAAGAGTAGGGTCTTTGGGCCGTTTTGGTCTGAAAGGGGGTATAGACTTTGCCTTTTTTGGTCTGAATTCGGGCATGGTTTTCGAGGGAATGCATGAACGTATGTATCGTTTCACTTCCAAATGAATAAGAAAGAAAGAGTAATATGCGTATTCGAGGTGCATTTTAAGAAATCTTTTTCTTTGCTTTCTAATCTAAGTAATGATAACATAATTTCTGCCTACGCCAGGTCTGAAAATGGGCATGGATTTTAGAGGCCAGGTCTGAAAACGGGTGTTGAAAATGTCAATTTTGGGGTCTGAAATAGGGTCAGGATTTGGCGACACACCCCCACCACGAATTCCCAGGAATACGCCCCCCCCTGGGAATTTGAGCGCCTTTTCAAGGCTTAGCACATTTTGGGAGACATGATTTTCTTAGAATTTTTCTGTTAATTTTCTCAAAGATATGTTTCGATCCACCTTAATTTTCTCCTTCTATGGGTAGGCTCGGGTTCCAAACTTAAAAGCGAGTTTTGACTCGACAGAAACCAAACAGAACACCTTTTCTCGGCCAAATAATCCGACGAAGGACGCCTCGGACTCTCGCATTGAGAGCTTCCCGCTCTCGCAGCGGTAAAACTGAGTGAGTTCCTCCTGATGCCTCGGAAGGTAACAAGTTCCTTGAATCCTCTTCTAAACCGAGGATTTCGCGAACCTAGTATGATTGGAGTACACACACTGTGCAGGAATCCACAGATGTACGCAGAGCGCAGAAAATGGCGGGAAAACAAAGTAACGTCTGTGACCAGCGTTAAAACACCGTATATGAAGAATGGAGTCCAACAGGCGACAAAAGCCGCTACAACAAACACAAGGGTGATAATGATCTTTTTCTGCGCTAAAATGCCGCGATCATCAATGATAGCTGTGTCACGGATCCTCTGACAATGCAACTTCACTGCTCGAGCTATTCTCCAGTATAGGAATGTCATAGCTAAGACTGGAAATAAGTACACACAGCACAGCAGAAACACGGTGTGGGACATTTCTGAGGCGTTGTGCGGATAAGAAGGGCCGCACATGCTTGACGAAGGCTTGTATACTATCTCTGTCCAGCCGAGGATAGGACCAATGGCACACGCGAATGCCGAGAGCCATACCACAGTAATGATCAATAAAGAGCGGTCATGCGTTATCATCTTCTTCAATGGATGAACAATAGAAAAGTATTTGTGTACACTGATTACTGTAAGCGTAAAAATCGACAACGCGAACCAGAAAGGCACGACAAATGCGTTCAGCTTGCAGAAAGCTTCGCCAAGGACCCACGATTGCTTGATAAGCGCGGTTACCATGAACGGAATGCAAAATAAACACACTCCCATTCCTGTGATCGCGAGCTGTGTTAGAAATATATTTGTTCGCGTGCGCATTTGTCGGTTGCTCAATACCACACCGACCACCAGCGCATTTCCAAAGAAACCAACCACCAGGGTAACTAACAACACCACAATCTCAAGTAATGTCATCGTATCCAGCGAGGCATCGTAAGGTGCACCGTTTGCAGTAGCTGATGAATTACCAAGCTTGAAGTTTGTTTGAGTTGTAATCTGATTGAGTGAATTCTGTTTCATTATCACTCAATACTCGAATTTTAGAACGTAACATACACGGCAAGCAGCTAGCTGAGGAGGACTAAATGCTAAGGACTTCACCCAAACTTGAGCTTGAGATTAACCATCTGAACTTGAAAGCTGCTTTCCAAAATAGGCATCGAAGAATGTCGGGGCTATCTATCGAATTGGCGTCGGCACGTTCGTTTTCTAACATTGTATTGAAATGCCTTTGTTTTGACGAAACCTGAATCTCTAAGTACCTTTAGCTAGTTAAATAAACTTTTATTCTTTTGTTTACTTTTCGGCTTCTATTGACTTCTAAATAAAGGAAGACTTTAAAAGAAAACATAGAGTGCAACAATTAAACCGGCTTATTAGACATGTTCATTCTTTGCGCGCCCCCTTTCTATCTCAAGCGATCCCAAAACGAAAGTAACCTTAGTTTTCCTTTTCTTTTCAGGCGACCAAACTGAGATTTGCAAAAAGCTAGCAAATTTTACCTTACTAAGAGAAAACAATTCTTTTTCTGTGCCGTTCATTTGGACGTGATTGTACTAAAAAGCACAAAAGTGTGCCTTTTCTTCAGCTTGCAGGTCACATACCAGGTCAATAGCCGATAAAACTAATCTGATATCAATGATAACCCCATTTTGAAAAACGTTATCCTGTTTGAAATGTGTCCACAGCTGTGTAAAACTCAAAGTCGAATCCTGATGACTAAAACAAATTCTTGTTATAAAAAGATGTTATATATTATTTTTAGTATAGGTTACATAAACGTCGTCTTTCACAGGGCAATAATTGGCCACTAGTTTTTGACATCTGTTTGTTTGTCATTTTTTGATCCGACCGCAGACACACAGCATCGAGAAAGGTTTTCACACAGCATCGAGAAAGGGCGTTTCACGGGTCATAATTTGTTCAAACCACTTGTTCTCACTTAGGTGAGAAACGGAGAACAATAGCGCATTGTTTGTTCGCTAAGCCGACAACAATCAAATTTCAAACCTTTTGTGTTTTTTATTTGTGTCTTGGTATTTTTTGGGGGGCCAGTACACTTGTGAGAGCGGCAATGGATAGTGACGACGAAATTTTCCTAACGCAAAATACTTTCTCTCAGGAGCCTTTTTCCCCTGAGTTGAATTTGGAAGAGTTAGTGGGAGACTTTAGAGAAGTAAGCGAACGAGATAGTGTTGAAGTCGAAAAGAAAGAAAATCCTGGGCGTAATCTCGTTGTCGTTTGTGATAACGAAGTCGAGAAGAGAAGAGAGTCCAGAATACCGGCAAACACGAAAGTTAATACTTCATGGGCGGTACGTTGCTGGTAGGAATGGGCCGTCGAACGCAATGTAAAAGTTAAAAAGAATAGCAGCAAAGAGAAATACTACGAAGTCAATCCTGATATTAAGAAAGTCGCTAATGAGCAGCTTGGCTACTGGCTTGGGAAGTTTGTTTTGGAAATTCGGAAGAAGAAAGAACCTGGAAGCGTGTAAGTGACGACGAAATTTTCCAAAGACTTAAAATTTTCTTAGAGTGAACACATAGCCTGCATGATATATGGGATACTACTGTATTTTCTATAGTTGCAGAATAAATTTCTATATTTGTGTTAAAGGGAGAAATGTTCTCACAATGTTTAGCGGGGTCAAAGGACGTGTATGATTTGCTTTAATTGCTCATTATAAATGGAAGGGATTTATTTGTATATTGCCCAGGGCAGCAGGGCAATATACAGATAAATACCGGGTATTTATATAGATATTGCCCTTGCATTTATAATTAGCAATTTATTCAATTCATCAGCCCCGCTCTTCCCTGCTACATTATCAAGCCCTCCCCGGACTTTCAGTGAGTTAAATATTCATGTAGTATGTAAGTTAAATAAAGGATGTTGAATAACAAAAGAAAATGTGTGATTCATGAAAGAAATATATATATATATTCCTCCCGGCTGCCGCGTTTGCCACGAACGAGATGGAGAGTGACATGGATAAAGACAGAGGTGGTCGGTTTTTGAAGAATTGTTTCCTCGATTATATTTCGAAAAAGCAGAAACCTGTTTTTTTCTTAGCGCACGACTTTGATTGTCTTTTAGTTGTACAGCCATCAGAGGTACTGACGATATGACGTATTTTACTCCCAGCTGGGAGGGTACGAAGGAAGGGGTAACCGTTTTAGATAGGGTGTGCTGATGGGAACCTTTTGGTTTTTTTGAGCAACTATAGTTAAAAAAGCAACTTTTTGCCTTTTTGTTTGAGAAACTTCTGAACCACCTTTTGAGAAATTACGTGAAACGTTTTAGGAAATCTCGAGCAACTAGTGGAAAGCACTACCCTTTATCAGCCCACCGAACCGGTGTTTTTACCACAGAGCACTTTTTCCCGCGAAAAAGGAAGCCCCGCTGTTTTTAACAGTGATACGGGCATCCCCGCGTTTTGGGCATCCCCACTCCCAAAACCTTTGTGATATGGGCATCCCCTTCTCATATTACCTTAGCGATTTGGGTTAGGGTTAGGGTTACAGGGGATGCCCATATCACTAGCGTTTTGGTAATGGGGATGCCCATATCACTGTGACACCGCTCCGTCTATGAACTCATTTGAAGAAATGAAACAAGAAAACTAAACGTTATTAAAAGGCAAAAATACCTTTTTCAGATCTGTAGGTTTTGCTGAGCGGTTCGTCGGGACCTAAAAGATGGTCTAAATTTGCGCCAAATTCGTTCTTACTGGTCGGTGAGAAACGCCGTGACACGAGTACGTGAGGTTGCTTGGTTTAGGGGCCGGGCGGGGGTTACAGACGTATATGGGCTATATAGGTATGTGCCGCTGTGAAGAGTATGGTTTTCAAGCAGTTTACTGTGGGATAGGGTGTATAAATCAGAGAGTTTGGGATCTACAATAGAATAGAGTATCATTTTCCAGTAAAATGATCAATTTGTGGAGTTTAGTCTAGTGTTTCCTATCAAAATTTAGCTGAAGTAGCTCTAGCCTGCCGATAGGCCAAGGGTTCCAGGGTCCTAGCGGCACATCCCCACCCAAAAATTACAAGAGTACCTCCAAATCATTAGAAAATGCAAAAACCGTGGACGAAGATCCTGCTGGTTGTCAACGTTGGATCTCTGAATAAGAAAAGAGATCTAAAATATTAAGAACAAATTAAAAAACGAGATGTACAAAGACCTGCCAAGCTGATATTACCACGTGTATTGCTTCTTTTATAACAATATTTCGGCTGTCCATCCCACTCTTCTTCAAGTTTATAGATGTTACTGGATTTTATATAAACAGGAATTACAACATTATATAGATGGAGAATGTCGCAATAATCAACATTCCCGGAGGCTGCTCTCCAATGACTTTTCAGTTTGCTTAGGTTTACCTAACCTGCGAATACAGACTAAGCCGCCAAACGATTTCTACATGATTTCTCCAAAATCCTGGACACGCCAGCGCGCGAGATCGCGAGGCGTCACTCGAGCTGTACTTTTTGCTTTAATCTGATTGGTCAGCATCAACAGAAAAAGTTTTATATCAGAGAAATCGTTTAGCGGTTGGGTTTCGCAAACGTTACTTTTCGGGTGGAGAGAAATAAGTCTTTGTTCGCAGGCTAAGTTTTACCCGGTTTAAATGTCTTACACGGGGTTAAATTCGAGAAGTCAGTTGGACAATATGCCTCCTGAATATTAATGAGTTTTTGAAATACGTTTTCAGTTCATTGGTCAAGTTTTACACAGATTCGTCGGCACTAAATTCAGCTAATTTCCTATTAAGCGTGGTGGGTTCCCAAACGGGGGGGAACCCTATTTATGACAAAAAACTTATCCTAAAATACACGGCATTCCTGTTAAGGACAATACCCTCAATCTAGCAAAAGGACAAAATGCAGCAGAACGTCTTGTTTGGCAATTGCAATAGAGCAAATTCAAGTTACAGTCCTTGCTTTTGCATACTTGGAGTACAAACAAATTTACATCCTGTTTATAATTAGGACAGAATCGCACAAAATTATATACCCTGTTCAGGATAGACGCGCGCGAGATTATATACCCTCTGCTCAGGACTCTGCTGTTTAGGACAGAGAGGTTTGTATTCTAGCCAGCTTCTCATTTGGAAGGCAAATACTAGTTGAACATACCCCGCTTAAAGCCCTCTTTATACATCCAAGACGACAACTAAGTTTTCTTTAGAACTGAGTGTGAAAACTGGAGTACCTGAAGAAAAAAGGAGTTAACCAACAACAAACGCAAACCACACATGAATGATGAAGATGCTGGGAGTTGAGCCCAGACAACATTGGTTAGAGGGGAATGCTTTCACCACTGCACCACCCTTGCTATCGTAGCAGTTCTCCCCTTTTCAGAGGGGGTTTTACCCTGTCCATAAGAGATTGGCTACCAAACGGGATCTTTTAGGATTGTTTATTACAAACCATTTTAGTGGGGTACCTGTTGAACAAGACAAACTTAAATCAAGGGACACAAACACACACAAACCCACAGCCTAGCCAGTATCTCACACATGCATCTGGGCAGTGGCAGCTATGGACTCCTGTTTTGCCTTTATTTAGGCTCATCAGCATGCATAGCCATCGGGTCTATGAACGGATGAACCCGTATGTCAAAGACCCTTAGCTGCCAAGGTGATTGCAAAGCACTCCTGTATGCTCCAGCTCCACACATCAAGTGTGGGAGCTGTTGGCTGGGAACCACAAGGCAGTTGCTGATGGCTATGCCATGCTGATGAGCCATTCTAAGGGCGAAACAGCTGTCCTTGGCTGTCACTGCCCGAGTGATATGGCTGTGCATATGTGTAAGGTACTGGCCAGGCCATGGGTTGGGGTATGTGTGCCCTTTGCTTTAAGTTTGGCTTACCTGTAGACTGCATTTCCACTATGAAGCAAATAATTTACCTAGCTAGTCTACCAATATAGGGAAGTCATGGCTGGGGGAGTTATAATGTCAGCTTGCATTCCAAGATTGTTATGTTTGGGTCAGTGTTCATATGGTTGAGTGTAGCTATAATATATACGACTTAAGGCACCAGGACAGTAACACAATAGTCTTAAAAATAATTTAAATTAATTATGTAAATATCTCCTTGGTTTAAATCATTCACTAATAAACGTTGTTATTATCACTGGGCACATTACGGTACCATTAATCAGAACTATAGCTAGCCTATGTGTAAAGAGATTTCCACTATTACTCAGAAATTTCCTGCCAGATTACAGTCTACTTCTAATATGCATAGCAGGGTTGGGATATTAGCCAAAAAAAAAAGAAAAATGACGAAGCAAGAATTGCAGACTGGCCATGCAGGCCTAACCTTTTCTGGGAAAAAAAGAGAGAAGAAAAAACCTTCTCCAGATCTCATAAAATTTGGATAGGGGTGTGCTAGCCAAGGTCCTACACTGTAAAAATTTTACCCTATTTTAAGGGTGAGATGAACAAAAACTGATACAGTGCTCAAGGCCAAAACCAGAAAAATGAGATTCGGGGAAAAAACAAAAACTAAGAATTCAGTGGAAACACACAAAATTCCTTGAATTGCTTTCCCTATGCTCAAAGGTAAAGTTTAGTTTTAATAGATGATTTGTTTCTCTGATGTAGCTGGGAATTTATAATTATGCACTTATTATAAATTTTCATTAGCTGATACAATATTATATAACAGTACTCTTTCTAAGGTTCACACCGCCAACAAGGGAACACAATTAACCTATGCCAACAAGGGCACAAATGGTACCCTATTTTAGGATCAAGACCCTCAAAAACTGTACCCTATCAGGCAACAGATACCTAGCCTGTATACGGACTGAAGGACCTGTCCCCTTGGTTTTCAGATATTTGAGAGCTGTCATGAAATGGAAAACGGAGGGAAAAAGTGAAAGGGAGAATAATTAAAAGAGAACCATTCCCTAATTGCCCTCTCTCTCCTTGGCAACCTCACTGTTTTCTCCCACTCAGCACTCTCTGACTTACTCCAGTATGCAGACTTTTGTTGAGTGCCCTCGCTAAGTGAACCGCAGCTCATCAAATGTACAGGTTTGATTACCCGCCATTTTGTTGACCATTATGCTTTTTAACATCCAGGGGATGCAAACTAAACTCCATCAAAAAAAATAAATCAAGCCCACAAATTCTTTGCCTCCACTCCCTCCCCTGCCCCCCCCAAAAAATTGACCAATAACCTTTGCAATTCTTGCCACCAATTCAAACATTCAGGCAATTCTTGCCATCAATGCATCTATCTCTTCCGAAATGAAAGACAACAGCCACAATTTCTGATTTCTCATGGAGAGACTTCAGAGACTTCTCTCCTGCTGA